GCTGGAGCTTCTGCTACGAGTCTTGTTTCCTGCATAGCCCTGGTCCCTGCTGGCAAGATTTGATTGGTTCGCACAGCCCTGCGAGGCAACTGGCTGTTGGCCTATTGCCTGTGTCAGACGATATACTTGGCTCCCTCTGATAGGTCCGGGGAGGGGGAATATAAGAAGGGGGGTTAGGAGAGGGGGAGGAGGAAGGCCAGGGAGGAGGAAGGCCTGAGAATAAAGAAGTCTAAAGACAAAGAAGGAGTCCCCGTCTTGTCTTTTCTCAGCGCCGGTCAAATAGTCACTCTGCTTTTCTATTTTTGCCTAGGTTGCATATGATTTCTTCCTGGGGTCTATCTGCTTCAGGATGGGGATTACATCTCAAGTTCCACCATGGTTTTGTTTTGTTTTGTTTTGTTTTGTTTTGTTTTGTTTTGTGGCAGAACCAGGGATTGAACTCAGGACCTTGCATTTGCCAAGGAAGTTCTTATTCCACTGAGCCTTCTCCCCGGCCCCTCCACCATTGTTTGTCACACTCTGTGAGCACTGCACTCACAGACAAGGTAGTAATTGTTTTCAACAATAATCTATTAATTTTCATTAGTATTAAAAAGTGTATCTCATATTTTCCTCAAAGGCAATATTTTTTAGATTTTTAAATTGAAGTATGTTTTCAACTATGGAATAGATATATATTATGTTTAGATTAGTATACTTAACAGTGCTTTTTTCTGGTTGGTTGTAATTTTAAATTGAAATAAACGTAAATCTGTTGTATTACTGATATTAAAAAACATATTTATATAATATATAAAAGTTGTGACAAAGCCAAGGTGGACAATTTTAGTTCCAACAGCACAAACTTTTAAAAAATTGCATAAAGGAAGATTTTTTTTCCAACCAATGATATTCTTAATAATGTAAAATAGCACACATTTCTTTCTCTTGCAGGGCTGGGGATTAAACCCAGGACCTTGCACATGCTAGGCTCCATCACTGAACTGCATCTCCAGCCCCTAACAGCTAGACTCCCAATTCTAGTAAAACAAATTTACATAGACACGAACTTTCAATTTGTCAATAATCCCTATGAATTCATGATTGACTTTCAAACTAATTTTTCATAGAATAAATAACATGGGTTTTTTCAAAAGCTAGGAGATGATGAGGAAGGGAATTTAATGAAGTCTTAATGTAGGCAGGTAAATTAGAGAGAAATATTACAGGCAGTCAGATAGGGCCAGGCCCTCAAGGAGATAATATAGAAGACAAGATTTGCAACTTTGGAAGAAGGACACTCCCTCTTTGGGCCAGACCTCAAGACAAAGAGTAAATAAATGCAGTCACA